TGTGATTTGCAATGATTTTAATTGGTACTTATGCTAGATCAGGCTAAGGGAGTTAATAAATGATTAGGTGATGGGTTGGATAAATTTTTTTAGCTAAGTTAGATTAGATTTGAACTTTAAAATGAGTTAAGGATTTGAAATAAATTGAGTTGAAAGAGGAGGAATGTCATGAATCATCTCTAAAAAGGGGCAAAAGTATTCAACAAAAAGGGCACTAGGTTAGCTATATTCAAGTGATCTAGACTGATCAAAACTAAGGTTAAGTTTAAAATAGTTTTATTACTGCTTTTTATAACAACTTACTGGCACAAAAATTCATGAACTATAGTTTTTTGTACTATAAAGTTATTTTAGAAAACAATAAAAAATAGTTCCAAACTTAATTTGATTGTTCCAATTGAGACAATAACAAAAGCCCTTCTATTGTTAGATGGATTAAACATGAAACACATGAATATAAATTGAACATTGATGGTGCTGCTAAGAAGAATGGTGTAGGCTGTGGTGGGCTTATTAGGGGCCATCTTGGTCATTTCATCCTTGGTTTTGCTTCTAATATTTTCATGGATAATATTATTTATGCTAAAATGTATGCTCTTTTTATAGGGTTACAATTGTGCATTTATAATAACATCCTCAATACATAGATTGAAATCAATTTTAAGCTTTTGTTGACTTTTGTACAAGCCTGTAAATGTCACAATGCAATCTTATTTTACCTGTTTAACAAGATATTTGTTTTGTTAAACAAACTTAACTATAGAATTTCTCATATTTGGCATAAAGGAAATGTTTGTGCTGATTGGTTGGCCAAAGAAGGGGTTAAATCTTTGAATATACTTTACTTTAACAATTATTCTTGCCTTGAAATTCTCAAGGGCATGATCATAATGGATATTTTGGGCATTTCTAATCTCAAAAAATAGCCATTTTGGTCTATCTTTTTTAGTTGCTCTCTTGTCACTGTTATTCTTTTGTTGGCACAGTTGCCTTGCTGTTAGCTCCTTGGTATTAGTTATCCTGTTATGTTATCTTTTTGTTAGTTCTACTGTAGCTTCATGATATATTGGATTTTGGTTTTCCTGATGGGTTTTGGATTTGGTTGTTTGCAGTTGGAGTTGATTATTTATTACATTTTTAGTTTCCTACTTTCTTACCCTTGCTAGTTAGTAGCTGGTGGGTGGGTGTTGCCTGATGCTTTTTCTAGCTGGTGGTTTTCTGTCAAGTGTTATTCGAGTATCGGTCTTCAGTAGATTTGTTTTATGTTGTTGGTTTTGGGGTGTGGACTGGTCTGGATGTGCTTGTTGGATTATGGTGGTTCCTTATGCCTTCAGGTTGCTGCTAGGTATTGCCTCCCTCATGTTGGGGTTTATAGCCTTATGCTATTTTGCTTATGATTCTCTAGATCCTTTGTTGGTTCGATCCTTAAATTTTGGCATTCCTTCTACTTGGGGATTTATGGATTGTTTTCTAGGTGCTTGTGCGATTTGGGTTTCCTGTTAGCTTCTTGTTGTTGAGAATTTTGCTTCATTGGATCTAGATGCGGATGTTATTTTTGTTGTTGTTGATGTTTCTGGTGCTATCATGACTGATGGTGGTGGTAGTCTTAATGTTATTCGTTATGATTCTACTTTTGGGAGTCCCTTCAGTGTTGGTGATTAAGAGTTGTTGGCATTTCCCTAGTCTTTTTATTTTGTTGTTTTTATTGTTTTTTCTTTTGTGATGTAGAGTTGTGGGTGTTTTACTACTTCTTTTAGTTGAGTGGGTTTCTCTTGGCAATTTTGCTTCCAGATTCTTATGTTGGGTTGACTGTTCTTTGTTTTTGAGGAATGTCTTATTTTATTGGATGAATCAGTTACTGAATTTTGTTGAGCTCTTTCTTTTACAATTTTTGGTTCTTATGATTGTGGATGGTTCGAAGCTGGTGGCTAGTTTGGATCCAAATTTGTTGGTCTCTTCTCTAGTTGAATTCTGGATGCATGGTTCAATAGGTTTTGGTTCCCTGTATTTCGTCCTTTTGTTTTGGTTGTATTTTTTTTTTGGTGTTTTGTTGCCGTCATCATGAGTGTTCTTCATGTATATCAAACTTTAGCTTTCGGGATGTTTCTTCTTCAAAATTTTGGGCTTGGTTTCTTACTCGCCAAATGCTTATTTTGATTATTTTTGTGACATTGGTTGGGAACCAGTGCCCTATAAGTTTTCTTTTTCTTTCTAATGTAGCTCTTCAAGCAATAGTGGGCTATGGATCCTTTTTTAAGGACCTTGTTGTGGCATTGAGAGATGTGTACACTTTTTGTGCCAACGGTAGGTTGAATAGCATGTTAGGAAGCCATCTGATGGCCTCCTCTACTCATCTTTTTGTCCTCATGATGTGGGCAGCAGGGAGACCAAATTCATCTAATTAATATAAACGAAAAAATTAAGCTATTTGCCGCTGATAATTTTTACATAGATTAAGAAATAACGAAAAAAAAAAAACAATTGGAACCAATAAAAAAATAAAAAATAAAAAAAACGAAAAAAATAGAAAAAATAATGTAATAATATTGAGGAACTAAAAAAACGGATAAACAGAAAACCAAAAAAATAAAAATAAAAAAAGAAATAAAAAATTGAAGAAAATTAAAAAAAAAAGAGAAAACTTAAGTGGCTGGCTAACGACTGCTTATTAATATTTTTCTTCTTCTTCTTTTATTTATTAGTTATATTTTTTCGTTTCTTGTTTGGAACTCATTGTTTTGTTTTTAAATTCGTTCAAGTAAATTATTATTTACTAATTTTAATAAAATATGATTTACTTATAATATATAATTTACTAACAACAAGATTGATTTACTAATTAATTAATAATAACATCGCTCTCCCTGTCTGCCCGACATCGCCCTTCTCATATTGGCTTGACCCAAGCCATTCGTTCAATAGGTTAATAACTAGCCCAGTCGTTCATCTGCCACGCGTTGCCTTCTCACGACATCGACACATCACCTCTCCCGCCATATCATAGAGACAGTCATTTGCTCATGCATCGACTGATCACCTTACTTTTATTATTATTATTATTTTGTTTATGTTCTATGTAAAAAAGTTTCAACAATTTTTATTTAAAAAAATTATCCCGATTTAAATCACCTCAAACAATAGTGTGACAATGTTGAGATATATCTTAAGTTATTATGCGGAAAAAATCAAGTTTTTTTTATTTGTTTTACGACATTTAGGTCATTTTAGACAAATTCACACACGCACGCACATACGCAATATTTGAACTCAATACCTCTTAGTTGATTATCAAAGCTCAGAACCAACATACCAAAAAGAGTTAGAGAGAGAGAGATTAAACTAATTAGTAATTAGTAAATTGAGGATAACCATAGCAAGGTGGGGGCTAATGCATTAATATCACACGAGTTATCATAAATATTAATATAATCATACACTATGTATTGTATTATCATGCAAGAAAACAAGATGCCTAACCTCCATTTGGCCACCACCTCACAACCAAAACCAACCAAAGGTTGAAAGTGGTCAAACAAAAGGCAACTTAATAAAGTGGAAATCATTATACACATAAATTATAAAAGCCCAAATTCCATTAAATTATAAAGAATAAGAATTATAGGCTGGCTAAATATAGCATTTCTTAGCTAATTATGATAAAAAATAAGAGATAGATTGAAATATAAAACAAACCTTGAGCTCTCATATATTCGTTTACACCACTAATAACATGTTTGCTGGCACAGACCCGTAGAACAATTCAATAAGTGGAATCACGGCACATATATATAGTTGTCATGTTCGTCTCGAACTATATAATATGCTCTATATAATTTGTATTTATTACACTGAGCCACCGCTCTTCTTCGAGAAAGGGAATTATTTGTAATCAATCATCAACACTTACACAATCAGTTTGACTAGACAAGACTGATTTTTCTCTCTATTGGGAGTTTTCCATGTAAAAATTATGGTGTCTCTTATACATGATGCACTTTACTCTTTTATCTATTTGTGTGTTGGATCTTTAATTCGTACGAAACTGGATTCACTAAACTTTATATTTCTCTACCACCTCATATATTTTAGGACGCAACGAATGTGTTTTTAATATTTTGAAAACAAATTAATTTATTTTAAAAATAGAAAAAAATGTTTTATAAACATTATTTTTGAATAAAAAAATTCCAAATAAATATTAAGCTATTAGATCCATTTTATCTGAGAAGTTAGTAATTAAGGAAAAATACTTTTAGTTTTTCTAATCATAATTTTTTCCTTGGATTCTCTCAGTCTTTTCTCATTCAAATAACATTTATCAACTCGATCTGTTCAAGCTAATTTAATCATAAAGTAGCAAATATTTTGATAAAATGAGAAAAATATCTTAACCATTTAAACACGTGACATTAACTTTGTATGAAAATGTCCTTCACATAAATAAATAATCTTCAACACACGGCTTTGATCTTGTTAAGTAGCAAACATTTTGATAAAACGAGATAACTATTTTACGCATTCAAATACATCTAACATTCATTTTTGGCGAGAGGATACTAGATCTATAAGAAAAATTCAACAAACTGAGCCAAAAAAATAAAATAATTATTCAATATTGTACGAAAATTTCCTACGTATAATACAAAATAACATTCAACATATAATTTTTTTCATAAAAATTAAGAAAATGTATTACAGAATGATATTGCATCTAAATAGTTGGACTTACTTATATATATATATATATCACATAATTTTAATGTATTTATATATCTAATTATTAAATTTTAATATCTATTTATATAACATTTAAAATTTTAAATTACATCATAAATACTCTATTTGCAACCATTGGAATTCAAAAGACTTGGTTCAGTGTAAGTGTGACAACGAAGAAGCAAAGCGTGATGATCCATAATATATATTTAGTTTGTTCTGTTCTGTCTGCATGGCTAACTATATAAGCAGCAGAAACTAAAGTAAGCCATCAAGCACCTGCCATGGCCTCCTCCTCCTCCTCCTCCTTCAGCTCGGCAATTATGATTCTCCTCTTCACGACAGCTTTAGCCACTGTCGGTTCAGCTAACTACATTTTGGACTCCGGGAAGTTCCTAAATCCAGGCGAAAGCCTTCAAAACAATGTCTTCGCATTGGTCATGCAGAATGATTGTAACCTCGTCCTCCTCTACCCTGAATCCAAATCTATAATATGGGAGTCAGGGACCGCGGCCGAAGGCTCCGACTGCACTCTCCAGATGCAATATGATGGAAACCTCGTCATCTACCGTGACTTTAACGCAGCAGCTATTTGGGCTACCAACACCAAGCAAGCAAATAAAGATATTTATCATCTCGTCCTCCAAAGCGATCGCAACCTCGTCATCTATGATAATAACGGAAAGGCTCTTTGGGACACAGACACTAGCCTTGGCAAATGAACATTTTACATCAAAAAGATCGAATTGATTGTTATATGAAACTCTTAAAAATGAAATCTTGGAGATCATAAGAGATTTTTATGCTTCAAAAATGGTTAAAATAAGATATTTTCTTGCTTTTTTTTTTTTTTTTTACTTTTTCTAGCTGTTTGGGATGATCAGAAACTCAAATTTTGATTTGTGTTTCAATTTTATGGTTTGATTGAGCTTTCAACATCTCCTATATCGCTTACTTTCTTCTCAATTTCTAATTAAAGGTGAGGTTGTATTCATTAAAATTTTAGATGTGAAGTATGCTTCTGTTAAATTTATATATGATGTTTACAGGTTCAAACAAATAAAAAAGGAAAAAAAAAACTAACGTTGAGCTGATTGTAGGTAGGTTCGATGTTAATAAAGAATGTACTATGAGCTTTATGATCTTAATTAGATTTAATTTAGATTGAATGTATTATGTATCTAATTAATAAAGAATTATATTGCTCTCATCTCAACCTTAAAAAATTTTAGTTTAGAAAATTCTAACATAAAATTAAACATAACAAAAATATTTTTAATTAATTTATTTGGAGATGACTCTAATATATAACTAACCAATCAACTATTATATTACCTTCACATGAAAATAAATTCAATATAAAAAATTATAGTGAATAAGTTTATTTTAATATATCTAACAAAAAATATATTTGATCCTAAAATTTACATATTAAATTCTTAATTTTTTATCAATTAAATTAGCTAACATCTCTCTCTCTATCTCTCTTTCACTCTATGAGTGCAAACAAGAAGGTAAGGAGGTCTCAAGATTCTTTTTCTTTGCTTCCACTCTGCCTCATCTATGAATGCCCTCTTCCACTTAATGATAACAAGTTCCTCTTACCCAACTTGTATAAATCATCTTAAAAATATAAATCAAAATCTTTATTTGCAATTTTTTTATATTTAAATATATAAAAAATTATAAAAGTTTATGCAGTTTGAAATTTTTTTCTTTAAATAAGATTATTATATAGTAAACATTGCCTATATTTATATAAATAGCATAAACTTAAATTTTTACAAAATTCCTGCAAAAATCACAATTAAAACGCACTAAAAAACATTCAAAACTTATGTTCTAATTTTCCTGGTATTAATAAGTATTGTAATTTGTAATACAAACATAAACAGGCCTTTATTTCATGCAATCAGCCCATCAAATAAAAGGCGATAAATTGGATCCATTTATGGACAGAGCAGAAATGGGCCTTTCTAATCGGGTATTGCATATATGGGCCATGAGTGATGCTATTTAATTTGTAATGATTTTTAGAAGAAAAAAACAAACAAACAAACATTTTAGTTGATGACAAATAAGTGTGACGCTTTTATGGTAAACTAAACATAAAAATTAACTATAATATTTCAATTAAAATGAATTTAATTTCTCATTAATCAAAACCAAATAAAATAATTAGTTAAAAAAGGAAAGGATAAAAAAATTCTACTATATTACTATATTTAAGTTAAGGGTTCCTAATTTACTATGAATATTTAATTTTCTAGAAAGGAATCCTGCAAAATAAATATAGACAAATTGATTATATTTATGTTGAACAATTTTTGTGAAAAAATTAAAAAAAAAATGAATTGATATATAATACAACACTTTTACCTTATATCTTCTAATTAAACTCTAAAATTAAATTTCTTACATTTTATATATTCCTTATATTTCTTAAGCTATTATACCTTAACCATTCTATCCATAAATGACTTTATACACATTAGATATATTGCAAACCCAAAAGGAATGTTCAACTTTACCTAAAAATATGATGAAATAAAGGTGATTTGTTTTGTGTACAATATGGGTCAAGCAGGTGATTATTAAAACTTTGTTTGTGACTACTTTTTCACTGCTTCTTAAAACAGTTTTTTAGTACAAAATTTTTAATATTTATACTAGAAAGCTGCTTTAAGAAGCAGTAAGAAAACCGTCTCAACTGAAATCTAAGTTAGCACATAAGTCATTAATAATGATCAATATTCAAGATAATTCCTATTTAGGTCTTGAAATTAGTTTTTTGTCAATTGAACATAACTTTCAATAGATTGATAGCTCCTTAAACATGAGATAAGCTAATTAAACAAGAACATATGGATTTAAGTGAAGTGGATGTCTTCCAAAGAGTTAGGTTTTAATCAAACTTTTTAAGTCAATGAATCAAGATATTTTTTTAAATAAAATATTTTTTTAATAATTTAGCATAAAATTGCAACTACAAAAGAAAAATAAAGTCAAAACTCATCCACTATAACTCAATAGGCTTATACAAATTCTCAAAGATTTTTTAATGATAGAAATTTATCTTATATATTTAATAAAGGGCCATGAGAATAATTACAAGATTTTAAGAAGAATCATTAAAGTGTATGAGTCCTTAATACAAGATCATGTATACCATCTTCCTTGATAATTTCTAGCACTTCAAGTACAGAATCATATATTTTTGTTAGACTCATTAATGTTTAGAAATGCAAACTCCAATGGGTGTCACCAACATGATGCAAATTAGTTTCTTGGTTCAAACCTCAACTGCCATTTAACTCTCCGCTGCTTAAATGAAAAAGTATTTTATCACATTGAATAGCTTTTAGAGTATCATTCTTCTTGCATGAAGCTCCAACACTATTTACATTTCTTGAAGTCATCTCAAATAAATATTTTACTTGTCAATAATTTTTTACAACAACCACCAAATATAATTGGAGTTGATGTGCAAAATAATAAATATAGAATGCTTGAGTATTATCTTTCAGAATGAGTGTTTCAAACCATTGAACTCCTCTCGCATATTAGATGCTCCATCATAACCTTAACCCCGTAATCTATGTAAACTTAATGGATATTTTATAAGAAGTGCTTTAACTGATGTCTTGAGTGCTATTGCATTTGTTGAAGTAAAATGACTAACACCTATAAATCTCTCAATTATTTGGCCCAACTTGTCTATGTATCTCATCGTAACAGCTAATTATTCTTATATTGACACATTGCGAGATTCATCAACTAGAATGGTGAAATAAGAAACACCAATATCATTCATGATTATAACCAATGTCTCAGCAATAATAGAACTACAAATCCATTTTTGAACTGTTGGTGCAATCAATTTTAATTTATCATTTGCATTTTCAAATGTAACTTTTCTAACATCTTCATTATAATTTGTAAGAAACTAAAATAGTTTTATATAATTTCTTTGATTATCAGAACTAGATGATTCATCATACCCATGGAACGATATCATTGACGAATAAGAAATCGAATACAATCAGCAGCTGCAGTTAGAATAGTGTGATATTTTCTTTTCTTCTCTTCTTTGCTCGACCATAAAATAGGAATAGTCTGCTCTTGAAGCTTCATTAAAGCCTCACATTTATGTCTTACCTTATTGTATGCACTTTTGTGTTCTCCGACATGACTCAGAAGCTTATCTTTTCTCTTCCAGTTCTTAAATCCCTCACCAACAAATATGTCTCTACCGTCTTGGCAAGTACTAACTTTCTGTTGAGGTTTAAATAAGTAGCAATATAGATAAAATACAACATTTTTTAATACATTGTATTCTATCCAACTGCGAAATTTCCTCAAACCTTTTTGAGTTGAACATATATATATTTGAGTTGAACATATGTGCAATATTTCCTATGACTGTTTGAGGGAAATGATGATTTTTTGATTGATGCGGTCCTTTCAACATATAAGCTCTACGAACTTTATCATACTCATTCACATCAAGAATCATTCCATTGATGGTCGAAGGCCAGGGTCAGTTGGAAGATTATCAATCTCAACACGTTTTTTTCGCTTCAAGAATCATTCCATTTCTCAAAAGTCTAACAACATAATTAAGTAAATCATCAAGTACTAAAGATATATGATAACATTCATTATCAAATTCCATTTGAGTCAACTAGCTATAAACATATTATGATTCATGAAATTTTTTCTTAAATCCTAAGTTAGAAATAAACCCTTTAATAAAGAGAGACATGTTAATAATTTGAATCTGCTTCATAAATTAACATTAATTTTTCTTCTTCTATGTTATTGCAATATTAACTAAAGGTCCATATGGTTTAATTCCGGAAGAAAATACATTCTAGCAAATAATAATTCATATTTATTCATTTAATATCACAAATTTTGGAAGAAATTCAAATCCTTAACCTATATGAATCATGCACATAAAGTAAGAAACTACAGTATATGTGAAAATGCAAGAGAAGGAAACATATATAACAGTGTATTTTCATAAAAAAAAAAACTTATATTTTTCTCCATGATTGATTTTAAGTTTACAGATTTGATTACAAAACATAGTCTTCTAAATCTGTTTTGTGTCTTGCTATCATCGTTATTTGGTTTAAATTTCCCAGATATTATTTTCATTGGTTCCTATCCTACCATAGAATTTGGTGAACAATATTTGTCTTCTCAGAATCTCAGGTGAGTAAGACTAAATGTTTATAGCATGTCAGCTGGTACTCTGATATGTAGTAGAGCAATGCCAGCTAGATTTTGTAAGTTAAGGAATGGATATTCATGAATTGTGTTCAATAAAAAAAAAAAAAAAACTTGTGTGGCTTGGTACTATCTATAATTGTGGTTGGATTAGATGCTCTTTGTGTAGAGCTCGAATGACTAGGATGGTAAGTCAAGTGTGCTGGTCTGGGATAACCGTCCCAGTTGGACTAGTCTATGCCGATGGTTAGTAAGCTCATTGCCTTGATGGTTTGCTGCCTTGAATAATCAGTTTAGTGTTTGGGCTTTAGTTCTGTATGCGGTTGGTATATTTTGCTAATTATTAACTCATTGCCTTGATGTTTTTCGTAAAATACAGGTGAACATCAACGTTGAACATCAACGCCTCAACGGTGAACAGATAAACAAAATTATTCGCTAGATTAAAATTACCTTGATGAAGAGAAGCCGAGATTGATACAGTGAA